CTGATGATTCAAAAAATACTTTGTCTTCATCACAGCTCTTTTGAAGTAAAGATTTTTATGTGCTATTTTTATTTGAATAATGAACTGGATTTAAGTTTAAATTGACTATCCTGATTTAAGATTGCAAAAAAAAAATATTTAGATGGAAGATTCATCTTATGCTTTCTCATGAAATTCTTTTTGGTCTGCAATACACGGTAAATGCAGGAGACTCTTAGAAGTCAGCAATTAGATGAGTCAAGAGTGTATTGATGTGAAGGAAAGTCAACGTTAAATGAACAAAGGGCTTTTAAGAAGCCCATTATGACCACTTATAATGGGAAATGTAGTTCCCATTAGAGATTGATTTAAGGAGCCCTGGTTTGTCACTGAAGCATGAAGGCTGCAGTGTGGTGTTTTGTGCAAATCATTTTTATAGCACTCTCTACTGAGCTCCTTCTGGTTAATCTGTTGGTGTGTCTAAACCTGTAAGAACTGCATCTATCTTGTTTAAGGAATATAAAAATTTCCAGAAACTTAAACCAAAGATTAGCATATTTTTCATTTATCTCATAGGATATTGAAAAATTTTTAAAACGCCTTACTGGTTGTAATCAGACACAGCAGCACCAGATGTCAACTCTTGGATAATTTAATCTTTTTGTCTTGTGCATATTTTCATAAATATTTTTCTACTTGAACAGAATATCAGTTTCTGGCTCAGCTTAAAGTATAAAAATTTTCCAATTAGATTGCTGTAACTTCATTTTTATTCATGACCGAAAATTTAATAGAGATCATTACTTTTTTGACTTGTAGGAGATGAACTTTAAAATAAACCACCTGACCCAGGGCAGGGCAGAGAGCCTAGGATTCTGATCCTTCCTGGAGTCTGAGGGAGGCTGGCGTGAGACTCCATCCTCTATCCCTAAGTAATTCTTAATTTGGGAGGAATTTTTGGATTTGTATTGGTCTGCCATGTAATTGACCTTATCCCCAGTTGTGGATTAATTTAACTCCTTGCTTAGCTTTTATATGGATTTTCTGCCTACTTATGTGCCAGTTATTTAGAGAAGTATAGTAAAAGTGAAACAGGGTAGTTTTGACTCAAAGGAATTTATGGTTGGGGCGAGGAGATCAAGTGAAATGCTGTTGTCACACCGTATATGATTAAGTGCCTTGCAGTAAGTGATAGGTAATATATGAAGTAAGCTCTTTAGGGGAGAGAAGGGCACACAAGTGAAGTGGTCAGGAAAGCCTTTGAAGTAGAATTGGGCCTTGTCAGAAGGAGGAGCCTGGCAAGGTTGCCTCATGCCTGAGGAAAGAGTGAGGATAAAGGTGCAGAGTTGGGGAGGAGCCCAGGGCGTTCAAACCACAGCGTGAAACTGAGCTCATGAGAGTTAGACGCTCAAACGCCTTCTTTCCTTTTTCTTGTTTCCTCTTGCACTTGAATTCTTGAATGAGTACTAACTACCCCAATTCATGGTAGCATGACTTCCACTCCCAGTACATCACTAATGCAGTCCTGTTGGAGGTCCTCAATGACCTCCCTGTCCCAGTGGCTAGGTACATGTGACTTAACTTAAGAATTCTTTGCTGCAGCATTGGATATTGTTGACTCTGGACTACTTTTTCTAGCTCATCCCAAATGCTTTCTGGCTCCAAAGGTTATTGAAAGACACTGGAGTGTATACTAGACTGGATTTAAATCGCTGCCGCAGCACAGCTAGTACTGTTGAATTAAGGAAATTAATTAGTACCTCTCAGCCTCAGTTTAATGGAAATGAGGACATCTAAATCATAGTGTGGTTGAAGGATAAAAAGATAACATAGGGATAATATGTTGAAATAAATGGCTCTTGGTAGGCAGGCATCAAGATTAGTTCCCTTTCCGTACCTGGTAGCCACTCTTTCCTTGCCCGAGTGTGCCTATCCCCTTTCACTTCTATCCCTTTGCTCTGGCATTCCCACTTTCTGGAATGCCCTATCCCTGTTTTTTACCCATTGAAATCCTAACCACTCTGAAAGGTTTATCACCTCAAGCAGAATTGAATTTTGCATCTTTTGGATTCTTAATATTATTCATTGGACAGCACCAAGATACTACCCTACAGTTTAGTTATCTGCACAGTCATATTTTCCTGACTGGATGAAAAACTCTTTGAGGGTGAAGTCCAAGTCAGGGATATGAAGATAAACTAGTGAGAGCTGAGACTGTGTACTCCCTTGTTTCTGTACAGGGCTGCGTGAATAGTTGTCAGGCTTCCAAGGTGATCTCATCATCATATTGTTTTTTCTCCTTTTCTTCCTAACTACAAGCATATGCTGATTTTTTCTAATTCCTTTCCTCTAGCCTTTACTGCCCTTCTGTGCTTTCGATGTAATCAAACGTCTGGTGAATGTCCCCAGCTCCACTATCCCATAGCCGTCTCAAAGGCACCATGTCCACAACCGATCTCTTACCTCCTTCTGCTCCCCTGTCCTACATGCAGCGTGCCCTCTTCATGTATATTGTACCAGATCTTTGGTGTCATAGCCCACACAGTTCCTGAAGCAGAAACTTGGAGAGCATCCTTCATTCCTTACTTTCCTTGTTATCTACACTGCATGAGTCACCAAATCTCAACTCATCAGCCTCCCAAGTATTTCTTGAGTCCATCCCTCCTCTTTCTATGTCAACTACTGCTGCCTAGGTTTGGGTGCTCCTCCCTCAATTAGTTTGACTGTAATTTCTTTTTAGTGAATCTACTTCACCCTGTCCTTAAGTCCTCTCAAGTCCATCCTCTACCTCTGCGTTCTGATGCTACACTACCTCATGGAAAACCCTCTGGTGGCGTCTTTTCATATACATCGCAGATGAGAAAATTGGTTTTATCTCGTGGACCAGCTCTGATCGATTTGGTAATGGTTCTGCAAATGCTGCCGCTGGGTTCAGCATGAGCAATTGGTGGCATCTGACAAGGTACATTGAAGGGGGTGGGCCGCACATAGCCTAGCTAGGATTAAGTCCAAGCTCCTTAGAGTGGCATACTAGGCTTTCCGTGACCCAGATCCCGCCCATGTCTTCATCCTCAGCTCACTTTACCCTGGAACAGCAGGGAACTATTTTGTCCTCTTGCCTTTGTTCAATCGAAACCTGCTTGCTCGAAAACTGCTTGCTCGTACCCTTTACCTAGAAAATGCATTTGTGTTTTTTTTTTTTCAGACGGGAGTTTTGCTCTTGTTGCCCAGGCTGGAGTGTGACGGAGTGGTCTTGGCTCACTGCAAACTCCACCTCCCAGGTTCAAACAATTCTCCTGCCTCAGCCTCCCAAGTGCTGGGATTACAGGCGCCCGCCACCACACCCGGCTAATTTTTGTATTTTTAGTAGAGGCGGAGTTTCACTATGTTGGCCAGGCTGGTCATGAACTCCTGACCTCAGGTGATCCATCCACCTCAGCCTCCCAAAGTGCCGGGATTACAGGCGTGAGCCCCTGCGCCCGGCCGGAAATCCATTCTTAACCTACAACCTTAGTGTGTGCTCAGGGTACCTGGGGTGGGCCTTGCATAGGGTTAAGTGTTATTTAATTTTTTTTTTAATTGGCAAGTAGAAATTATATATATTATATTTTTTCAATGATATTTTGAAAATATACATTAGAAAATGGCTAAATTGAGCTAATTAAGTATTTTTCCTGAGGCCTCTTTTTCAGCAGTACATATAACATTGTCTTGAAATCTTAAGTGTCTCTCTGGAAAGACAATATATACTGTTAGAGCAAATATCATGGCTTTATCTTTGGCCTCTGGTACTTATCATACTCCCTTTCGTGTAGTATGTATGTAATTTGTTTACTGAATTGAAATGAATTAGTAAATAATTTTGATTGTGAATACACTTTGCTTTATTTATTTACATTTACTAATTTTTTTTTTTTTTTTTTGAGACAGAGTCTCCCTTTGTCACCCAGGCTGCAGTGCAGTGGTGCCATCTCGGCTCATTGCAACCTCGGCCTCCTCGGTTCAAGCAATTCTCGTGCCTCAGCCTCTCGAGTAGCTGGGATTACAGGTGTGCACCACCATGCCTGGCTAATTTTTGGTATTTGTAGTAGAGAAGTGGTTTCACCCTGTTAGTCAGTCTGATCTCAAACTACCAATCTCAAGTGTTCTGCCTGCCTCGGCCTCCCAAAGTGCTGGGATTACAGGTGTGAGCCACGGCTCAGCCTGCTTTTTTAAAATTTAAATTCGATTGGTGAACTTCAGGGTGAAAGGACAAGTTTTAGGAATGTTAGTGCTCTACAGAAATTAGGCCGGTGAATCAGGCAATAAGTAGACATTGGAAATTTTTGAGCAGGGGAGTGGCATGATGAAAGTGGTATTTAAGGAAGCTTGATCTGGAGACAACCTTTTATATTATAGGCTTAAGCCACTGCTGGCAAGCGTGGGTGAGGGTCGCAGGAGGGGGAGAAGAGGGAGAGGCAAGGGTTTAAAGCCATGCTGAGGAACAGCTTCCTGTGTCTTTGTACTTTCATTTCCACATTTGCTCAAGTGGGATGTACTTGCTGGCATGTTTCCGAAAATAAAAGAGTGCTGAAGTTATTTTTATTTTTTAAAAAAGAACATTCTTGTAAAACACCTAAGTGAGCCATTTTACATAATTATCTGAGACATATTCATTATTAATTGCTTGGGAAGAGAGATTATGAGTTCAATTTTTTTTTAAATAATTAGCATCTACATAGTTAGGCTACAATCTTCCAAAGTCAGTGAAGGTTTTTATTTTGGCATGTTTTAAAATATATGAGGGAAATACTTCAGTTTGGTTTTCCATCAGGTTTTGCTTGATAGTTTAACATCTCCATTCTGATTGTAGTTTCTCCCATGTAACATTTGCATTTCATATTTGACTCATGTGACAGTCTTTCCTGGTTAAAGTTTATTTTTCATTTGTTTTGGTCCATGTAGTTCTACTCTATTTTATTCTTCACATTGGCCAGTGTACACTTTTAAGTTTACGGTTGCTTTGTTATTTTTTCTTACAGGGTTATGACTCACTATTAAAAAGAGGGACTTTTTCCAAATACTTTGCACTTTTGATTGTGTATTATGGATACCAAGGAAGAGAAGAAGGAACGGAAACAAAGTTATTTTGCTCGGTAAGCATTCATTTTACAGAATTGTTATCAGTACTTTAAAGAAATATTTGAGCGGACTTTGTCCTCAAGTATTACTTTGCATTTTGTGTTTTGTGCTTGTTCATAAATAGAGCAGGTAACCAGGAGAAGTAAACTATACTTTGCTTCATCCATTTTATTCATATTAGAGGATTATAACATTTGGTTCTTCTCTTTCTAGCTTTGACACTTCTCTCAGGCCAGTGTTGCTCAGCAAATCCAGCTGTCATGCTCTGACCTGCAAATTGCTCCGAATCCCATGTTTAGCAACCTACCTTGAATTTTAAATCCTAAGTGCTTCGCTCCTACTGTTCTGTAGCTTAATTGGTTGGACTATAACTGAAAATCTCTGACGCATTTAAAGCTTATCACCTTGTGGGGAGTCTATTACTAAAAAATACTTTTGTAGGTAGGTGAAATGGGTGAAATTATGTTTTTGAATCAGAGTCATTTTTAAGGCTGGAACTTGTCCAACATAAATAAATTTGTTGATATCTGAATAGAAGTAATTTAGTATATGATTTGTTACCATTTACAGATTTAAATGTCTATGTGGCAGTCACTCACTAATCATAAAAAAATGAATTACATGCTAAACATTTGTAAAACATTTTGATAAGCCAGAATGTTTTCAGACTCAGAGAACATAGGCTTAAAAACATGTTTCTCCTAAATTGAAATGCGTGTTAAGAACTGAATTTAGCCTCATTCCATCCCCAGTCCCCAGGCTGTGCTCATTAGAGATGCATTTACTGTTTTCTAAACTGAGCCTTGGAGCCAAAACCAAAGTTTACTGTTGATGTTTTTATCCAGTAATTAAGCTAGATTTTAGGTTGATAATGGGAAAAGGAAGGAAACAATTTAAGGACCTACTATGTACTGAGTGCTTTACTTATGATTTTAATTGTCTTCAAAATAAATCTATGCCATCAGTTAATTTATCTCCATTTTACAAGTGATGCAACTAAGACTCAGAATATATTTTGTCCATTTCATGCAGCATAAGAGTCAGTATTAAACATAAGGCCATTTCCAAAGGGCATGCTCCAGTTGGGAATAGTAAATCATGAATAAGGTTTTGGGGAAGCACAAGTTAAACTACCAATTGTAGTAAAATATTTTCTGCTGTTAGGACTACAGAGAGTAACCAGATTAGGGAGGGAAGACATCAGGCATCTAATGGATGAAACACCAGAAAGATAGGATATTTAGAATAAATAAGATCTCCAAAGTTTTTATTTTGAGATAATTTTAGATTCACATGTAGTTAGTTGTAAGGAATAATAGATACCCCTATTCTTTATCCATAGTACAATATCACAACTAGGAAATTCACATTGATACAATCCACTAGCCTTATTCAGAGCGTTCATTGTATGTATGTTTGTATGTATTTAGTTCCATGCAGTTATATCACATATAGAGATTTCTGTGGTCACCATCAGTCAAGATACACAACAGTTGCATTAAAAGGATCCCACATGCTACCTTTTTGTATCCCTACTCACTCCTTCCATCTACCTGCCTCCTCTGACAACCACTATAATTTGTCATTTCAAGAATACTACGCAAATGGAGTCATGTAGTATGTAACCTTTGGCATTTAGCTTTTTCTTCCCTTCAGCGTTACTCCCTTGACATCCCTCAAAGCTGTTGCATGTATCGATAGTTTGTTCCTTTTTATTGCATAGTAGCATTCCATAGTATTTTTTTAGTCATTTTTAGTCATTTACCCATTGAAGGGCATTTAGGTTGTTTCCAGTTTGGGCTATTTATGAACAAAGATGCTAGATGCTACAATCATTTATGTACAAGTTTTTGTATGAGCATGAGTTTTCATTTCCCTGAGATAACTGTCCAAGAGTGCAATTGCTGGGTCAAAGGATAAGTGTATTTTTAGTTTTATAAGAAACTGCAGTACTCTTTTCTGGAATGGTTGTAACATTTGACATTCCCATCAGCAAAGTCTGAGTAAACCAGTTTCTCTGCATTGTCATTTGGTGGTGTCAATATTTTTTATTTTAGCTATTCTGATAAGTATGTAGTGATGTCTCATTATGGTTTTAATTTGTATTTCCTTAATGGTTAGTGAGGTTTAACAGTTTCATGTGCTTATTATTAGCCATATGTATGTGTTGTTTAGTGGAATCTCCTTTCCTATCTTTTGCCCATTTTCTAATTGAATTGTTTAGGTTTTTACTGCTGAATTGTACACATTCGAGTCTTTTGTTGGATATGTGGTTTGCAAATAATTTTCTCCCAGTCTGTAGTTTGTCTTTTCATCCAGTTAACAGAGTTGCAGAGCAGAAGTTTTTAATTTTGATGTGATTCGATTTATCAGTTTCTCCTTCTATGAATTGTGCTTTTGGTCTGAATTCTAAGATCTCTTTGCCTAGCTCTGTGTTCTGAAGATTCTCTGCTGTTTTTCTTTTCTGAAAATTTTATAGCATTATGTTTTGTATTGAAGTCTGTGATCCATTTTGAATTTATTTTTGGATAACACAGGAGTTTAGGTCAAGATGGTGGTCATCCTTCTCCTCCCCCTTCTCCCCCTCTCCCTTCCTTGCCTCCTCCCTTTCTTCCTGCTTCTCTTCCTGCTCTTCTTCCTCTCTTCTTCCTCCTCCCCTTTCCTGCTTCTCCCCCTTCCTTCTTTCTCCCACCTCCTCCTTCCTCCTCCTTACTTTCTTCTTCTTCTTTCTTTTCTTTCTTCTTCACATGCCCTACATAGTGGTTTTAAGAGCTATAGTGCCTTCTCAGTCTGAATCCAAAGTGATTGCAGTAGTAGACGGGCGGATCACGAGGTCAGGAGATCGAGACCATCCTGGCTAACACAATGAAACCCCGTCTCTACTAAAAATACAAAAAAATTAGCCGGGCGTGGTGGCGGCGCCTGTAGTCCCAGCTACTCAGGAGGCTGAGGCAGGAGAATGGCGGGAACCCGGGAGGCGGAGCTTGCAGTGAGCCGAGATCGGGCCACTGCACTCCAGCCTGGGCGACAGAGCGAGACTCCGCCTCAAAAAAAAAAAAAAAAAAAGTCACTGCTGGTTCATGAACAACCTGCTCCATGTTAACCTCTTCTTCTTCCTAAAATGTTTAGTCAAGGGAGCCCCTGAAGCTGCGAATACAAACCAAAACTGTTCTGGAAGAGCAGCACAGTTTTTTCAACTCAGAAATGTAAAATTGTCTTGCTTATCATGACCTCTTCTGAAAAGTATTCTAACAATGAAACAAAAAACATATCGTAAAATGCTGAAATATGATCTTGGGAGTATGCATAGGAACAGTGGCACAAGGACGAAGTCAGTGGTGCTCTTAAGACAGTAAGAACATGATTTGTAACTAGGAAATGAGAGATAGAGGGAGAGAGGAGAATGGAGAGAAGAGGCGATGGGAGCAGGGAGAGACAGACAGACACAGACAGAGAAACACTGACTGACAAACCTGTAGTTTAGCTCTTACAATGCAGTGGAAGCCAGAAATGGTCAAGCTATGAAAAGCAAAAGGCAAACCAAAGAGAGAAGAACCCCCTTCAGCCTATCATCAGAAAAGAGCCATCCAAAGTTATACATCTTTTCAAATGCCTTCTGACTTAACTGTGGAATTATCAAGTGGAATTAGCAACAGAACTTACTTGAAAGCCAGTTTCTGACAATACAGAGCAGAGTTCTCTGGAGCAGCATACTTAAGAGCAGTCCAAGTAAGATCTCTGGAGAGAAGGATAAAATGTCAGGCCAAGGGTGAGGCCAAATTGATGCAATCTCAGTTTTCTCTAAACTAAATTATACCGCCTTACATAAATCTCAACTAGTGTTCCGAGGAAGTCAAAAGGAAAATTTACCCTAATGTTGTGCCTGCTGCCACAATTATATATCTGAAACCCTAAAAACTGCTTTTTAGACTGTTTCCCCCTTCCACATTGCCTTTTTCCTCCTGAGTAGTTAAATAGCCAATGTTTTCTTTGTGTGCTATCTTATCATGTGGTTTCATAATCCTTGCATGACTGTGTTTGGTAAATAGTCCTTTGTCAAACCTGTTTTGTTGATGTTTTGCTCTTTAAGTTTAACATCAAAGTAAAGTTTAAAATACCCTATTTTAATAATTTTTGATCGAAATTAGTGATTTGAGGGTCATCCAGTCTTTCCTTTCTTATAATTTATCTTGAAATATGCCTGTGTAACTCTTAAGTAGAGGAGTGGATTTAATACTACTATTAGATAGAGTAATTCTGGATAAGACCTGATTAAGTTTTTGGATTTTCTGACCCTGGTCCACCTGGTTTTCAGGTGCTTCAGGACAGTTTTATACCAGTTGTTAAATCTAGATTGAATGATTTGTGAAACTTTTTCACAAATGGTTTTGCAAATAATTTATATATGCAAAATTAATATATGTCTATATTAATTTCTTGATCCCTGACAGATCTGGAAAACCAAATGAAAAACTGAATTACTAAAGCAAATTATGTGTTCTGTGTACTATTTGTACTGTCTGCAATTTATACTATCCTCTGGGGTGACTGTCATGTGTCATTTGTTACACACTTGCTGACTCTTCCTTCCCCTTGTAGTTAGAATGCAACATTTTCTTTAGTATTGCCACACAGGGCTCTCTTCCTACACACTTGCTTGACATTATTTGGCTTTTGTGATTTCCGAGTAGGTCCTTGTATGCTATTGGTTGAAGGTTCTTTGAAAGCATTTTTTCAGGATCAAGGGTTAATTGAAGATATCCGAAATACATCTGTAGTTGAACCAAATGGTGTTTTGTGGGTGGTTTACTTTTCCCCTCTGAAAAGGTGTGAGAGAGCCTAGGAGTAAACAGTGAGTAATATAAACACAGACACAGACCAGGTGTTCATGTAGGTCACCTCCCCTATTCCCTGGTTGTCATGAAAAGCAGAACTGCTGCTCCCACCTCCACTTTCCTCTTAACCCAGCCTTTCAGAGCAGCAGTAGGAGCCAGCACCACCTCTGTCATCATTC